AATACGCGTAAATTATTTAGTAATTTTTAAATGTTTAACTTTAGTTTAATTGTAAAATTATTTAAATTTGATTTAAAAAGTATCACGTACAAAGAAGAGGCATTGATGGAAAATAAATGATGCATATTTAATATGATGTGAACGTTTAATACATTTTAATTTTTGGTGAGAAAATTTATAATTTTTAAACTACTTCTTCGAAAAGTTTAAAAGAAAAAAGTTTTCAATATAATATTTAAAAATCCATCAAATAAATCTACAAAGTGTTATTAAAATTGAAAGTAAAAAATAAAATTAAAATATTATAACTTAATAGGAATTAAAGTTAATTAAAAAAACATGTTATTCTTTAATTTTTCTTACGATATACTATAATTTATAAACAGTTTTTCGTATTTTATCCAGGTTATAAATAGCAGAAATCAAGATAAAAACTAAAAAGAATTAAGTTATGTCGCTTTATACAGTTATTATTTTCTTAGATTATAAATTTTAAGTCAGAATTTAGTAAAATTAAATTAATATTAATAAATAATTTTATTTTATTTATTATTCTAAAATATGAAGATTATGTTTAGTAATTTGATAAAAATATATCAATTCATCTACACGTAATCATTAATTTAAGATACTTAAAGGTATATAAATCTATATTTTGTGAATCAATTTTTAATGACCTTATCTGATATATACAAAAACATACTTAAATTATAAGAATAATTAAATAAATATATTCAAAAGATTACATTTATGAATAAATAAATTTTTACAGTTATATACAGGTTTAATTCTTGTGTATATAATATATAAACTATAAATTTTAATTTTTTTAATTAAAGATATTTTAAGTTTCCTCTTTGAAGAAAGTTTATGATGTTACAACTACTTTAGTTTTCTAAAATGTTTATAGGTAATGCGGGTAAATAAAATATTGTCTGATATATTTATATCATAGAAAAAAATAAAGTTTTAGCAAATAGAAATTTTTACTTAAAAGTTAGAGAACATGATAAGATACAATAATAATTAAAGCATAGACTCCAATCATGCTATTGTGTCATGTTAACAATTGATCTCAATCAGAGATATTGATCTGAATTAGAATCGTATGTGAATCTGTATTCCGAATGTCTTGCAACGGTTGGGAAATTTCTATTCATTTCATCACCTCAATATCTTATTATAAGTTGTTGTTTAGAAACAATCTTAACATATATAGTAAGATTTTTGTACTTTGCATAGACATAAATTGAGGAACATTGCTAGAAATCTACAAATTTTCGACGATATTTTTTACTATAAATATGGCTTTTATACAAAAAATTCTTTAGGATAATTATAAAATAACGTTTAAACATTATATTTTATACAATTTTTTTCTTAAATCCCTTATACATTTATGTAAATTTATAAGGAATTTAAACAAATAATAAAAAATAGGGAAAACTATATTAAATCCCTTATACATTTGTATAAGTGTATAAAGAATTTGATATAGTTTCATGGTGATGTTTTCCCTATTTTTATTATTAATATATGCTTCAAAATATTATATGTTAAAAGTAACTTTGTGTTAATGTAAATCGCTAAAAGCAATTAAACTTTTAGCAAGAATTAGAAAAATAATAAACGAAAATTTCCTGTTTTAGTATAATTATAGGCAAAGTTATTTTAATGCATTTTTCAAAACTTCTATAGTAATACCTAATCCAATGAGTTAGAAGTTTTCGAGACAAATATCCGTTAATGTCAAATGGGAGATCATTATTTCTAATTTCTTTTCTCTTCATTTCTTTTGATGTAAAGACAAACGGACAGATCTGAGCTCATCTGCAGAAATGCTATTCCTTGTTACAACTCCACCCCTGAAAATTACAGAAAATTGTCTCCCTTGTGTTCTATTACAACCATATGATTGTCTCGCATTGCAAAAGAACTTGGAGCCAAACCCCTTTCAATTCTTTTGAATGGTTTGTGATGAGTAGAAATGCAATGGGGTACACATACAAGAAAAAGAGAGAAAGAAGAAGATGGAAAGAACAGAAACCTGTTTAGAACTGGATAGGTGATAATGTCTTTTAGTTAGCTATTGGACGAGGTTTCCAAGATTAGGTAACGAAATCAATAGAAAGGCATTGCTGATGAGGACAAGATCAATAAAAACACACTTAATGGCAATAGAATGGAATAAACATTGTTACTTGATTCAACATGTTACATTTTTAAAATATCTATCTATCTATTCTATATATACAAAATTTATAAATCTCTTAACCACACTCAAAGATTATATTTTCTTTTTTTTTTCATTCTTAAATAATAGATGAAAGTTGGGAGAAAAATAGAAAAATTCTATCACAGATTATATTCGAAAGCAACTAGGAATACTTTGCAAAGTCAAAACAGTTCAAATCTAATGTAAATTTATGCAAATTATATTCTATGTTGAAACAATCAGGTTTTTAATATAAGGAAGATTTCTGTTCTGATTTTTTCCCAAGAAAAAAAAAGAAACAAAAAAAGAAAAATGTTTTTTCATTTTTGTGTTTTTAAGATTGGTTTGAGTGTCTCCAATTTTACCATCTGATAAGACATTTTTTCTTTTTATGTTTAACTCCGTTGTTAAGTTAAATTAAAAACAACGAAATGAAGAATTTTCTATAAGTACAAGATGAAGAAAGTACTTAAAAAACTCGAAGAAACAGAACAAAATGTTTTGATTATTAGAAGTAGTGGCAAGAAATTTATATAAATAAAGAGAAAGGGAGAGAGAGTGAGAGGGAGAGATTTTTTGTTAAAAAACTAAATCAATTGTCTCTTTTGTTATTAAGATAAATTTTTGATAATTATTTTTTTTCTCTTATTCCCCTTTTTTTAACTTACCAATTAAACTTTATATATTTTACAATCGATTAATAAAGAGAGATGACAAATATTTTAAAGTAATTCAAAACTTTGCATTAAATTCATGAATTTAATAACTAGAACTCAGTAACAGAATCATGCAATTGGTTCGTCTTAATTTACTTAATGACATACCACGAAATGTTTCCATAGGTCAAATTTACTAATTGCTACTTGATGGATTAGATGCGATTATATACGATACTGTATTATGTAAGTTAACCATAATGCATAATTTTCCAACAATTTTAAAAGAACTTTAAGGAAGGGAGAAGGTGGAGGAAAGAAAAAACAAGCAATAATAGTTCCTATCTACTAAAACGAATCTCCTTAACTGTCAGAAATCACGTAGCAAACGTAGCACTCTCCCTCTTATACGTGATCTCAAGATTTTTCTATACCAAATGGCATTACTGTAAAAAATTTCTTACACCAGAGAGAACAAGATTAGACATTATAGTTGTTGTCTTTCTAATATTATTACTGTATAAGAAATAGTGATGATAGTTTTAGGAAATTTATAAAATGCTTAAAAAAATGATTATTTTCTTTATTTTAAAATTATTCCAAATTATTTTGATACACTCAATATAATAAATCTAAGTGGTCGTTCTTACAAATGTGAACATTATTATTATTATTATTATAGTAAAGTATAGGAGATTTTTTTTTTATTTTTAGCTTTCATGACTTGCATTAAGTTTCATATTTTATAGTTATTGATACAATTTAAAGATTACTAGCGAGGAGAATATTATTCTTCGAAGCTTTCTCCATGAATTGAATAAAAGTTAAACGATTTTTTTTCGGTTACTTCTTTTGAACATTGGGCTAAAGTTTATTTTATTTTCTTATATTTATTTATTTAGTTATTTTTTATTGTTTGCCTTACTCATATCCGATAAGAATGGTTTCAATATATTTCAGCAGGATCAGCGTGAAAGGATTTAGTAGTACAAAAGTTACAAGAAAGGGATTAAGGATTAGATGCATTATACGGCCAAAGACATCCTTACTAGTTTAGAAGAAAATATGTTGGATACTCTTTGATCTATACTATCTATACAGATTACTTGTTACGCTAGTAAGTTTGTATATTGAATTATAGTTATGTTACGCTTGTTTTTCAAGTGGGATATAGCACTTTAACTCTTGAAGTATGAGTATAATTACACTTGAAAAATTTGCTTTTGCTTTGTTGTCGAATGATTTCCTCGCCATAATTATATTAAATTAAAATAATTTTTTGAAAATTAAGTCGTAATGAAAAGAATTCTAACTATAAAATTATCTTTTTTTAATATAATTTTTAATGCAGAAGAGGCTGTAATGTAACACTGTGTTATCGAAGAGAATGTTAAACTTTCACTCTCCTTTTCTCTCTCGAGTCATATTTTACATTTAATTATGAATTTTATCTTGATTAAAATTCCTATTTTTAGTCGATAATAAATTTTAAATTTATTTTCTTATAATTCGATCAAATTTTATTATCATAAATGAAGAATTAAAGCTTTAGGGTAAGTTAAATGATAATTTTTGAAATGTCAGAAAAGTGAGTTTTTGAATAATTAAATATTTATAAGTCAAACAATTTTGCCATTGACATTGTGTTAAAAAACTGACTGTGTAAAATTTAACAAATTTTTTGATTAAACTTGATTATTTTTACGAGAAGAGTGAGAAAATTAATAGTTGCAACACGAGATCTCTAACATTACTTTCCTATTTGCCTCATTAATTGGATTGTTTTAATAGAGGGCTTTAATAGTTTCTATTTTTATTTTTGCTAATGCTAAATCAGAACGGAGAGGGGGAAAGTATCATTTGAGTCAAAGCCAAGCCATTAAATGCACCATTCTACTTGTTTAATCCCTTTATAATGATTAAATAATTGCATACAACAAGGTATGATGTCATTTCATCAGGTTGACAGGTGATAGCAAAGCACGTGACAGAGAAGAGATTGATGACTAGAAATTGAAGCGTCCGAGAGGCGCCCTTTTAAAGATACTTTTGCTTTTATAAAACTCTTCCACAATGACACCTTAATCAAACGAATTAAGGTTAAATGGTTATCCGAGAAAATTACTTACCTTGTTCAGCAGTTGCTGCACAGGAAGACGTAAAAAGCAAGAGTGGTAGAAGTTTGTCCATAGTGCAAACAAAGTTGTAGTCACAAAGCAATGTAATCACAGAGATAGTATGCTGTCACGTGCCGTGTGCTGCATGTTGGTCCGATCGATCCTCACTGTAGCTCGACTGCCTTGTAGCTTCCTCTTATAGTCCTCCATGACGACGTGATATGTGGGTGAGGCGCCGGACTCTGTCTGATTTGAGCATGCTCTGTAGATACACACGTGTACAGTCAGGTGTCTGTTTTGTTCTTCGATTCCTCTTATTGTTTATTTAAATAAAAATCACTAAATTATAGCCATTTAACAAGTAGAAACAAAAAAAAAAAATTCATTACTTTCTCGTTTCACGTCTTTCAACTTTAAATATGAATCTTTAAATTATTATTTATAATTATTTATAAGTATATTTATAATATAAATTTAAAATATTCTATAACTTCTATAGCCTAAACAATTAAAACAGTTCTGTCGGAGACTTTGTAAAAAAGTTAAAACCGATCCTTTAAATNTGAATTAATTCCAATTATTGTAAAAAAAACCTGTCAAAAACGGAACCTGAATAATGTGGAATCTTGATAGGAATTGTTTGAAACGGAACGATTTTCTATGATTTAAAAAAAACCTGTTTAAAACAGAAACTTGCCAAACAGGAAAAAATTGGTGTAGTGGAATTCCGGTTTAGGCAGGTTTATTGTATGTTGATTTATTGATCTATTAATATTTTATTAATACAGTAAAACCTGCGTAAAACGGAATCGCACTGTACTTTCTGTCGCCTGTTTTTTCTGGTTTAAACAGGTTTTTTTTTAAATAAAGAAAATTACTCCGTCCCAAAAAATTCTTACTGTTTAGTCAGGTTTTCGTATTATTTAGGTTCAATTTTTGACAAATTTTACAGTAATTTAAAATATTTCTATTATAACTGAACAATTTAAGAGAGTAATTTAATTCTGTAGGTCTTTATATATTATAAAATTACCATAGAAAATAGGAGAAATCATAGCTATAGGAGTATAAGAGACTATATTTAATATTCTTCAAAAATAAGTAAATACTGTAAGAAATATTAAAAATTTTTACAAGATTTAATAAATAATAAACAATGGATTCTGGCAACTGTGATTTAAATTCAATCATTACCATCTGATTACAATGATTGATGAAAAACATTGTCTGTCAAATTTTAATTAGTCGATTCAATTCACTTTGCAGCGATATATACAGATGAGATTTAAGATTCAGTTGTCAGATTTTTATCGTTAAACTTACAAACTTTTATATCGATAAAATCGTTTGGTCAAAGTGACGAGTGTGTCAGAAAGAAAAATAATTTAGTTTTAAACCGTATTGACGTCAATAAAATGAAGAAAAACAAGGAGTTATTNTTATTTTGTGTAATTAAGCGCACATTTTTTTCTTTAATTTCTTTGTTAAGTAAAAATGAGTGAATTAATAACGTTTAACAAGAAGAAGCCAGCCAAAATGCTTTAATTTTTGCTAAAAATCGTTTTAATTTCTGTTATATAAATAAAAAAGTAATATTCGAGATAATTTTTAAGAAAATATTTTCATTTGTTTCATTTATATATTCCAGAACAGTGTATGTACTGTACTATCGAAAATTTGTATAGTTCTTTCAATCCTCTTATAGAGAATCTGCAGTTCCTGCTTTTAATTACGTAAAATTGAATAAATTATCTTCTATAACATGTAAGAATGTTTAAAAATATACTTAATTTAAACTTAAATCTAACCTCATTACTTTTACATAATATCAGCGGCCAAATTTGAAGTTATCATGAATAAAACACTCATAATATTTGAATATATAATCACATATTACTTATATTTCTTTCAATTTTTGCAATGCAATCTTCGGTTTAATAAACAAAAAAATTAAATATCTCTATTTAAATTTATATAAAAATAAGGAAGTTTATAAACTTAATCATTAATTTCTATAAATTATTCAACAATTTTTAATAGAAATTATGTAATTGTTAACACGTAAACTCTGAAAAAATTCATAAAAATTACAGAAAGAGAAATTGTTGGCTAGTTTTAGGATTATATTTTATTCAGTTAAAAAGCTCACTGATAATAGTAACAAGTATAATTAGTCGATAATTCTTTTTAAATATGTTAATTGTTTAATGTGATATAATATCATATTTATAAATGTCTGGAAAATATATTTTTATAGACCTTATAAATTTAAAATATTCTATAACTTCTATAGCCTAAACAATTAAAACAGTTCTGTCGGAGACTTTGTAAAAAAGTTAAAACCGATCCTTTAAATCTATTGTAGCATAAAATAATATTGAAGATACCTTCCTAACGATTAATATATGCGTTACATTGAAATATATTCGTAAAGAGTAACTTCTATTGTCAAATTTTGGCAATAACCAGCTTCCGAATCAGTTTTTAGAATTTTTCTTCAACGTTGAAAAAATATAATATGGAATATCAAATCACATAACTCATAAAATATTCATTATACAATCCAGGACTAAATAGAAAGTCATAAATATTTCACACCATATAAACTGAACATTGTAAATACATGATAGATGTCGACAAGATATATGGATTTGTTTTACTACCAAATCCCTTTCTACCTTGTTATTTGGAAGACATACACCTTGTATAACACTCTTTTTTCAAGAAAAAGTGATATCTAGTTGAGGATTACCGATGATACCACTTTATACTCCAGCTGAGTGTGCGGTTTCTGTACAGAAATTTTTCCACTAAAACTTTTTCTATTTTTATCAACGTCGGGATATAGATAAAAGATTAATTAAAATAAACTTTTAAAAAATATATTAAATCGTTTATTTTCGTGTATAATTAATTTTTAAAATAGTTTTTATTTTAAAGAAAATCTGCGAGAGTTTTAAAAAGTTTCTGTCTTAGACAATCATTAGATCAGTGCTTGGTTCTTGTCAAGATCGATCTGTCTCCGTTCAGTGTTTGAGGTTAAGAGTGTTTGGGGAATACTTGCAGAATCATTTGGTCACTTCATGGTTTTCTTTGGCACTACCCTCAAGTCATCGTCATTATTATCTTAGATCTTCTTTTCAAGAAATCATTCAGGATGTTACATGACTTATTTTCAAAAGTTACAAATCGCAACAACAACACTGATATCACTCGATTATAGATTACATATATAAAGATATCATACTTTAAAAGTTATCCTCGTATTAAAACAAGAATGATATATCTCTATTCGAAAAGGAAATAAGTGAAGTTTCTGTTATTAATGATAAAGAAGTGTTGAAGTGAAAAAACCAAAATATTTTTAGAAGTTTTAATGATAAAACTTTTTTTTCCCTTCCTTTCCTTTGGAAAAAAATCAATATAAGTTCTTTTGAGGGTAAGAATCCGAGTTTTAAAATCACCAACTTACATCAGTCTTACTCTGATATTCTAGAACGTTGGTCCCTTTTATACACTTCCACAGAATTTCATTGAAATCCGAGACTTATGCTCCCAAGAGATTTGAGAGGGACGACAAGGCAAATTCTAATTTTATTTTCACCCATCACGGCCATCATCAAAGGTAATAAAAATTTAAGAAGGTAAAATTATAAAAAAATATATATTTTTTTATTTATTTTTTATTGTTTAATAACAATTAATTAATGTTTAATAATGTTTTTACTTAATTTTTGATTTTTCATGCTAAATAAATATTTTTTAAATTATATAATTAATTTGAAATGTATACAGGTGTAAAAAATTATAAATAATAAATATTTAAATGTTAATTTAATAAAATTAATAGCAATTGTTTTGAGTAAAAGATTAAAAGTTTAAACAAATGTAAATCGAATATATGAGAAACGAAGTGATAAACACGTAAAAATTTATTAAAAATCACTTTAATTAAACGTATTACAATTAAATTTTAATAATTGTAAAGTCGATTTAAGATTTTTATATAAATTTTTAAAATAAAACAATTAAAACTAAAATGAAAAATGATGATAAAGATGAATAACGGATTAAAAGAGAAACAATAAAAATAATAAATATTAATTCTACTTGTTAAATTATTAAAATAATTTTTAAATTTATTATAATTAATTTAAATAAAAATGATTAACTGTACTGTAAAATAACGATAACACAGAGAAGAGAAAAATAAAATTTAATAAAGAATTAAAAAAATATATATATATCGCAATAATTAATTATAAAATTATAGTAATTAACATAATTGACAATTTAAATTGCCTTTATTTAATTTAAAGAATTGATTGAAAATTGAAGGATTGAATTTCGATCGAACATCAATTAACGTTAACAGCATGATGCCGTAGAGCCATATGTTACTGAATCTCGCATAAAGTAACGTTACTGATGAGGCATGAAACAATGTTGAAATATATAAAGTATAACAGAGAAACGGTACGCCCGATGACGTTGAAAAACAGGGAGTACATATTAACAGATACAAATTTTAGTCAAGTTGTAACCGTGAATGATGTAAACGCTATAGATTCACTGAAGCGATGTTAAAACGAAGATATATTTTCTACTTGTTTAGAGTAATATTTTGTTGTATAAAAAGAAAGCATTTTATGATTTAGAATCGAAAGAATGTGTGACTAAGAGAATGTTAGATAAGATTTTTGTTGAATTTTATACATATTGAACTCATGTATTTTTTTCATAATTTTCTATAAATTTATTTTGTATTTTTAAAAATATCTTACACCATTTAATATCTATATCTATATATAATTTAGAAGGAAAAAAAATAAGTAACAGAACCTAAAGAATTTTATTTTAGAAGCGAAGAAAACTTTTTTCTTCTGTTAGTGACAGAGTCTAACTGTCACATTGTAACATACAATAACAAATTGTATTTTTTTCTTAGGTATTACTCAGCATTTTCTCTGATATATTTCTTCAGCTTGATTTTATCTGTCATTTTAAGATATAATGATTTATAACCTACAGATATAATTTTAAAGATAACTAATGGTTTATTGAAACATCTTACAAGCCATTACATCATTGGAATTTATTGTAACGAATAATCGTAAGCAATTACAAGAAAAATTTAATAACGTAAATTTGATTAGTGAGAATTTAATCAAACTAAT